AAGAAAAATAAAGTTTTATACTGTGAAAAATTTAAATAAGAAACCCAATAATCATTGCCATCCATTGGATTTGAAAGACAGTTCTCCAACACAGAGTCATAAGCACCTTCTTAGGGTGATATGACCTAGCAACTCTGATAATAGGACTGCAGTCCTATTCTTTTGTCACCTTTTTGCTGATTGATTCCAAGATAAAATTGTAAAATTACTAGGTATGCTTTGTTGCCAGCACAAAGTTTAAATGTTCCTCCTTTGTGTTGTTCATTTATGTTACTTTTAAAAACCTGGATTTCCTCTTTTTTCAGCTATTACTAAGATTAAGGAAGTGGCCATGCTTATGTTTAACGAGCTATTCAGTAAACCAGACCACACTTTCAGATGCCAGGTTTGATCTGTATAATTTTAATTATCCTTTTATTATCACCTTTAAACCTATTATTATCATTATTATTGTTATTTTCTTGATATCATTATATATCTCCTCATGAATTAAATAACTGCTCTATAACATGGATTGAAAGCATTTGGTTTATTATCTGCTATATAAGTCTATGGTGAGTAAACTGTGGATGACTCCCAATAAAGTAAAGTACTTTGTGCAGGTATAATCACATGATTCGAATTGGAGTGTAGTATAAATATACACATTGAACATTGAATTTTCTAAAATTTACCAGTTCTCAAAAATTTATTCCAAATAGCACAGGAAAAAATCATGTGATTACTTACCAATAATGTAAATTAAAAATTGCTGAGTTACCCCATAAAAGTAGCACAGAGGCAAAGCTCTCAAATCATATGTAAAGCTCAAAATAATTTCCAGCTGGTGCTGGTCAAGTTGTTCAGTCAAACCAATTGTTTGCTGGGACACCAATGTTTGGCCAGATAAATGTCTATTGTATCAGATCTCAATAAATCCTTGTTCCTCCCCCTCTAGTATATTTTTCTGGCATTTTCTCTCCTCTGCTAATATTGCACTGTTGACCATTTGCTCCACTTTACTAATGTTCTGGTTTGGTAATATCTGCCTTTTCCTACATCTAGGCAGTTTGGAAAGTTGCAAAACTTTAGAATAAAAGTTCATCAACAAATGCTTTTCATCCAGCCAATTTATTCTTGTTTTTCTCATTACCATGTTCCCAACAATGGCATAGCTCCATTTTCTGCATATAAACACACACACACACAACCCACAATTCCTCTACTCACTCTGATGAAGGGCTACCACTCCAAATGTCAGCTTTGAAACTCTTAACAGTGGCCAATTTATTTTATCAACTCAGTTGATAATAACAAATTACCTTGCTATACTCTCCCACTGACACAACACCACAGTCTTCAGAAACTTACCCTCTAAACGTACTACACCAAACTACACCGAACTACACCTGCTACACTTACTGCACCAAACTACAGTAGACTACACATACTGCGCCAAACTACCCTTACTTCTCAAACTATTTGATTTTATGATAAATGTTATAGTTTTTCCTTAGATAGTGTAAAACCTTGTTTCATATTTGTGATGGTAATAATGGATCTAGTATAATTATAATCTGATCAAGATTCCTCAAAAAAGAGTTATGCAATTTTGGAGTAAATTAGATATATTCATCTCAAAGTTTCTAGGAACTACAAAGGTCACAAATTCACCGCCGCAAGTGGAGGCTTTCTTGAAAGATATGGTAATACACCCCTGACATGTTAAACTGATTAGCTCTTTGATTAGTATTCAACCAACTCGCCCTCAGGGACCAACTTGCTCATGCATAAAATCACTTTAATAACCTCATTACAGATTTAGACTTGTTTTGACAGTTTAGTTTTGATGTTTTTGGCAGCTGGTAATTACCATCACATTCAAACATTTAGATGCTATGGACGCTTTCCAACACCTTTGGGACACTTATTACACTGCAGAATTGTATATTTCTTCAGTAGGAAAGCTTTTATTTTATTTACATGTTACACTTTTGTGTTGTTTTGTTTGTTGTGTTACATAATTTGGCCAAAGAATCAAAGCAATTGTTTGGGGATTTAGATCTCAGCATCTAAGTGTTCATATGTAGTGGTATGCCAGTTGCTGAACACTTTGGTTTGGTAATATCTGTGAATATTATTTATTAAATGGATATGAGAAGGATCTTTGCCAGAATAAACACTATTTCAAGGGAAATAGTAAAGTAATTTTACATGTGGGTGGGTTGGTATGGGCAAGTTAGTTCATGGGTGATTTGACTGTTAATTTCACTCACATTTTACAAGCTAATCAAATTACTGGGCTAGACTGTAACATGAATTGTGTTAAATTAAGTACTTGGATCAAACTTAAGACCTTATTATTTACAGACAGCTGATGATCACATGTTGGATCCCAAAGCTGTAATGTTGAACATGTCAACATATTGTTATACAAGCTAAATTGTTAAAAATGGTTTCATAATTGATTCTTTTATGGGTCGGTCTTTCAATACTTTTTCGCTCCTAATTTCTTTAAAGAATTATATCACACACATGCCCATCAATTTTCTCATGATAATTAATGATGATGTGATGGGAAGACTACAGCTAGCAAGACACATGTCTAATTTTACATTTATGCACCTGCAACTTTTAAGAAAAGAATGGTAATGCCAATTTTTTAATATTTAATTGCAATCAGCATATCAAGGTTCACCTTGTTCAAAATTACCTTTAAACTCCCTTCACATGTTGCTGTTTTGTTAATATTCAACAAGTATTTGCAGAAGGTTAGGAGAGTATCATTGTACAATATTCACTGAGTGTAAGGTGAATAATTGTTTTAGTACAATTGCCTGTAAATGCATTTGAAATCTCTTGATAGGTTCATTAAATTCACTTGGCAAAAACTTCATGTCTTTATTTTAAAAAGTGTTACTCCAAACTTAATTACTAGCATCGTTTGTGCACTTCCTCTGTAACACTGATAAAACCTGAGGCAGCCATTTTGAAATTTAGTGCTCCTGCTATAATCACCTAAAAGAAGATATGATGCAATCCTCTACCAATCAGAGGGTGTACATCTCTAAAATCACTGGAGCGATTATAGTAATTGCTAAACTCAAAACTGCATTGTAACTGAAGTTTTAAAACAATCAGTGAAGTATGTTCAGAACCATCTTAGATGCATTACATTGTTGCAGAATTAAGGTGGCACTGAGACCACAACACACCTATATTTTGAACTTTGCAAAAACAATCAAATTCAATATGTTAATGTAAACATTAGGGGCTCACACATACCTGGGTTTATGTACCTGTAACATTTATGTTTGGGAGCAGAACATGTGGTTTATTTATCACATGCATGAATATAAATTTGGCAAGGGCTGCAAACTTTTCATGCATAAATTAATCTGTGATTGCTAAATGTTGCTGTTATTGAAATTCATCTTTGTAGGCAAGGACGGCAGGTCTTAAGGCAGGAGGGCAGATGCCAGATTATGAACTATGTATTTCCAGGACTTGGGTCTGGATGAAGCAAGATACACATTATGTAAGAGAACAGAGTTTAGAATTTATCTATCATAATATTGTATAAATTTTATCTAGAGAATTTAAACCAGTTCTCAAATCCAATCTCAATTTTTTAAAGGCTATCTACTTTGTCAGAATTTGTGCTGCAAACTTGCTTATTTGAATTATCTCACACAATGCTCAGAAGATCATAGTTAGGTTCTCTATAGAGGTGTCCTCTTGGATATCTTAGAAATCATTTTCTAGATGTGCTTCAACTTTTTCTTTGGCTATATTTTTGTAGGTTAAAGGGCATTTACGTCACATCAGTAGAATATCATTCACTACTCAAGATCCAGATGACAAAACAGTATTTGGCTATGTGTGCAGACCAGTTAACCCCCTTGAAAACAATAATGAGCTTTATGCTTTTAAGTCCAAAGAAGTAAGTAAAACCAAAAAGGGCCTTGTGATAACTTAGCTGAATTATTAGGAATTCACATAGCCTTTTTATTTATGGATGAGTTTAGACTAGGAATCTTGTCTTCTTTAAAGAAAAACAATATGCAAGACCAGGCTTTGAACTTTGTAGGGGTTCTTTCATCAGAACCAATTAAGGTTGCCCGGTGATTAAGATGTCAGATAGAGAGATCTCAAGTTGTGAAAGTAAATGGATTTGTTTCAAGGATTGCAGAGTGGTAGCATATATGATCTTAGAATGGAGTCATGTTTGACAGACAACCCCTTGGAAATAAGTTTGATTTGATCCC